TTTTTTTTTTTTTTTTTTTTTTTTTTTTTGGTGCTGGGGATTGAACCCAGGCCAGGGCTACACACATGCTAAGCATGGACCCAACTACTGGGCTACATACCTGCAGCCACAAAGTAGTTTTTTGAATTGAGTGAGTGAATAATATTTAACAAGAACAGATAAAAAAATTACTTGTACAATGCAGGTTGGAAAAGACTCATTTGGCAACTGCACTAAGTTAAGAAACATGGTGGCACACACCTGTAATCCCAGCACTCGGGAGGCTGAGGCAGGAGGATCACTGTGAGCTCAAGACCAGCCTGGGCTACATAGTGAGTTCCAGGTCAGTCTCAACTACATAGTGAGACCCTGTCTCAAAAAACAAAAAAAGAAAGAAACATTTGAGTACTTTGTATATAAAAAGAACTGTCTGTGCTAGGGTGGAGCACCCAGAATATGTAGGAAGGTGACACAGAAGCGGCACCAGTAATGTCTCAAAGAGGTCAGGCAGGGATGCGGATATCCGATTTTCAGGGTTCTACTGTTTGTGCATTCAACAAACACTGTGAGCACTTATGTCGGCTGCACAGGTCTGATGTCAGAGGCAGCATTTGCGGTGCACTGTTGAGATGGTCAGCGGCTTCACAGAGGGAGATCAGGGAGGACACCCAGGAGAGCATGCAGGGGTCAGGGAGGCACCCCAGGAGTGTGTCGGGGCTGCAGGGTGGGCTCGGGAAGGCCCGAGGCTGCAGAGCTGAGGAATTATCAGTGAGGAGGGACAGGTTTCATGGAGGGAAGGTGGAGGAGCCGAAAGGGCCGCAGACCACAGAACACCCAGGAGCAGCAACAGGATCTAGCAAAGCACCAGGCAGAGCCACAGCTCACTGCGCATTTGGATAAAAGGCCGGGTTCCCTCAGCGGGTGCTCAGGCTCAAGCGCTGGGCATGGAAAGCGGGCAGAGTGCTGAAGTGGGGCTGGGAGATGAGACAACGGGCACCTCCCCTGGGGCTGCACCTGGTAGATGTGCTTGATCTCATGGCTCTTGGGACCTTTTGGGGTGAAGCTGATGTAGAGTGTAGAGTTTTCCTGGCTGTGGGGAGCAGAAGGAGGGTGGTGGACATGGCAGCGGACTCCAGGCGGGCTGCACCCACCCGTCCAGCCAGGCTCTTGTCCAGAGCCCCAGCGGAGACAGCACAGGAAGGAGCGCGGTGCAGGCCTGCTCCAGACCCGGGTCCTCACTGTGCCCGCAGTCTCCACTGTCGCCCTGCGTGCTCAGCGCTGAGGTGAACACCCCACCCCGCCCTCTCACTGACCTTCCTGACTGGCCCCAGCCACCTCCGCTCTGCCCAGGGACAGTCAGGTCCAGGCCCCACGTCCAGGAAGTCTTCCCCCTACTCCCCTGCACACTCCTGCCTGGGTGGTGCCGGCCCATTCTGCCCTGCACACCTGCCTCTTCTGGACGCCCACTTCCCGGTCTCTATTTCTTATTAGCCTTATCAGCTTGGTCTTTATGTTTCAAAGCACTGGAGCAGAGCTCA